GAGTGGAACTTGTCTTTACAATCAGTTAAAGAAACTTCCCTCTTGGACACCGCTTCTTAAAGTAATTAGATAGCCGTGTCGCTGTTACTTATAGTGTACTAAGAAGGCTACACTATCTGTAACAATATATTCTACTAAATGATAAAGAAGAAAAGAAGAAAATCCAACATCAAGTAATCAAAAAGATAAGAGATTGTGAAAAAGATAATATTAGAGTTATCATAATGAGTGACTTTAATAATATCAGATCTAAAGACTTAGACTAATACAATAAAGTCTCAAGCAGAAAACAGTTTCTCTCTATTCTAAGATAGTTAGAAAATTCAAATCTTAAAAATGTATTCAGACTAATATATCTATACAAAAAAGAGTTTATATGAACAAACAAGATTACTAGTACAAAAATAGTTTTTAAGGTCTTCTAGCTTAGTAATTTCATCAAATACTTTATTTTTTAGTTTTTCATTTTTGAAACAATCTTTGTTAAATCTCTCTAGAGCAAATTCTTTTCTTTTGATACTAAAGTTAATTACATATTCAACTAAAAGATAATCTGAGTTACCAAGTCTAGTATCAATTTGTGAAATTAGATTTGTATTATTTTCATTGATAAATATATAATTAAGGTGAGTAGCTATAATGTAATTTCCTTGAATTTTTTAAAAGAAGATATGAAAAGGCCTAAACTTTGCAAAATCTGATGAGTCTAAAAAATACTTTGTGAGATTTTGTAGTTGAGCTCTTGTTGTATCTTGTTGTAGAGTTGCTTTACTAGTTCTATCTATTTCTAGGTATAAATTAATGTTAAAGTCTCCTGCAATTATATTAATAGAATTCTCTTTAAGTTGAGGTATCTATTTTTCAAAGAAGAGCTTTCTGTCAGGAAGAGTATAAATATTGGAGATTTGAAATATAAGCTCTTTGTATACAAAGCTTGTAGAAATAACTCTATTATCTAAGTCTATTTCTGTGTCTTTAAATAAAATATTTTTGTTGCTTGTGAGAATAGCTATTTTGTTTGTTTAGATAGAATCAAAAATCTATTAGTTTTTAAGAAAGTTTCATATGTTTTGATCATTTAAATTTGTTTCTTATAATATAATTATATCTAATTTGTAAGATTTTAAAAGAGTTAGAGTATTCCGTTATTTTTGTTGATTGTTTAACCCCTTAATATTAAGGGTTACAACTTTAAATTTAAGTTGATCAGTCATATTGAAGGTAAAGTAATATAGAATTAGATCTGTGAGTTTTGTACTCCAATATGAGTTTTCCTATAAGGAGCAGCTCTAATTAGTTCTTCTTTTTGTTCTGAGATATCTTTTTTGTTTTTTCTTTTTCTTAAAAAAACAGTAGTGAATCTCTCTTCAAGATTGTTTGTTTGCAAGTATAACTTATTACTATTTGTAATAAGTACTATTGGAGTTTTCAAAAAGTTGATATTTTTAATTTCTATAATAGTTTCTATCTGTATATTATCAGTTGTAATGTTTTCTTTGTTGCTATTGTCAAAAGTTTCAACTAATAGAATTTCTATATTTTCTTTTTTTAGAGTAAAGCTTTCTAAGTTAATATCTTCTATTATAGAAGAGTTGTTTTTTAGAGTTTCTTCAATTTGAGAGGTTTCAGTTTCTGTATCTTTGTTAAAGTTAATAGAGTCTTGCTAATTTGTTACTTCTTTGTCTAATTCAATATGAGTACTTTTACTCTTTTTTTTGCTAACAAGGAATTCTTTATACTATTGACAGAGTAATAGAGCTTCTTTAAATTAAGAACATTCTTTTTTAATATTTCCTTCTTTGTTACAAAAATAACAAGTTTAGAAGCAGAATACTATTTAGTAGTAACTTTGTTATCAAAGATAACTTCAAAGCATGGAATTCTTTCTTTGAGATCAGAGTTATCAGTAGTCTCAAAAGTACTATCTATTAGTTTGTTAAATAGAGTATACCTTCAATTAAGAGAAGTTTAATTGAAATAATTTTATCTATATTATCAAACACCTCTTTAATTTCTTCTAAAATATTTTTTTTGTTACCTAAAAGTATATTTCTGACTTTAACTAAGAAGAAAGACTTTCTCATATCAGTTAGAATATAGCTATAATAAGTTTTATTAAATATCTTACTTTTTTTTGTAGCATAGTATTTAAGTTTTTCTTTGCTAGCAAATATTAGCTCGAAATGAGTATATAAACCTCTATTGATATTTAGCTTTGCAGTGATTATATCACGGGCTGCTATTTCATAAAGAGAGATCATGATTTTATTCAAAGAACTATTAAGATTTTGTATATCCAAAATAAGAGTATTATTATTTTTTGACTTAATATTATTTCTTGGAGAAAAGGAGGTAAAGGTTGATTGACTTCATTTGACTTTTGCAAATAAACTTAACCAAGATCTTTGCAAAGTTTCTTTGTTGTTATTTGTTGTATTTTTTTTAGATTCTAAAAGAGACAAGTCATATAAATTTGAACATATTGTTTTTGTTGTTGTTTGAGTCTCACTATTTTGGCTTTTATTATGTATCTTAGAGCTAAACATGATACTTGTATTGTTTTGATTTTGTTTATTTTTTAAATTTTTTGCACTATTTTCTTGAGAGACTTGTTCATCTTAACTAGAAGTATTGACTGAAGAGTTACTTTGTTGTATAGAGCTAGTTGATAGAGTTTAGTTGTTTGTTGCTTCCATGATTTCTTTGTTATAATATAAAACTATTTTATCTTCTAGAAGTTGTTTTTTTAGAGAAAAACTTCTAGCAAGCTTGATTTTTTTATTCTTTAAAACTTCTGAAAAAGAAGTTTTGTATTTGCTAAAAACTAGAAGAAGAGTTCCTGTTCTGTTATTGTTTTTAAAGTTAGTATTGTCCTATATGTAGATTATTTTGTTATTTCAAAAAACTCTCAGTTCTAATTTTTGTAGTCAGAAGAGAGAGTGTATTGATCCTTATTTTTCTATAAGCTATTTTAAACAAATTTGCTTAGAAAATTTAAATATATAACAATACTTATAATCTATATTTTTATAAATTTAAAATATTAAGGTCTGGTGATTTTAGTGTAGTAGTTAAGTTGCCAGACTACTATATAAAAGGTCTCAAGTTCAAATCCTACTATCAATAAATTTGAATAATTAATCAGATCTTTGTACCTAACTTATAATAAACTCTGTTTGTTTCTGAGATTATAATTCTGTAAATCATATTACACTAATATCATTCAGATATTGGAAGTGTGATGAGGCATTTGAAGAGACATAATATTACACAAATAAATCTTAATAGAATCTATGAATAAGGGACCTGCATAGTAGAAATCTTAAGTTAGTGAAGTAGTACAGCTTTCAATAATTATACTAGCTAACACTTGATCTAGAAAAGAAACTATCACTCTAAAAATATAGATCAAGAGAGATACAAGTAAGTCTGTTCTACAAGAAGAATCAGCAATACCAACCTGACTTGGTAGCTAACTAAATTAGGAGTATCTACCTTATGAAATATCTGAAGAGATCAGCAAACAAAAACTAGTAAAGAGCTATAGTAGAAACTGAAGTTATACAAATATCTATAAGAGTCTAAACTAGGTGAATTCATAAAATAGACACAGTTCACTCTAGTAGATTTACTTTGAGATTAACTAAAGCTCTGCAGGCTCACAATATATTGAACAATAAGCATCCTGAGAGGACCTAAGCTGGAGTCAAAAAATAGATCTATAACAAGCTAGCTAGCTTAAGAAGTTAGATATTATAGTGACGTTAGCTTATAATAGTATGAGTTAGTTAAACAGAATATTTAAATAAGTAACTTACAGGTAGATTACAAATATAGCAGTATAGTGTAGAACTAATTAGGTAGTCTATCACCTGTGCTGTGGACTACTTAAATTAGACAATAACTAAAGTTATCCCTTAGATTGTAAGCCAATGCAAGCAAATTTGCCTGCGTTTTTGTATTCATTCAGCTCTGATTTACTTTTTTAAAATGCAAAAATATTAAAAAAATAATT